CATTCCTGCGCCTTCTGCCATCGCTTTCTGACTGCGGCCGGTTATTTAACCTCATGAGTCACCGCCCTGCTATGGTATCTGTAGGCTTGTGTGTTAGGGCTAAAAAAGAATGAGAGGTTACTGCAAACGGTCTACCTGGTGTATAACGTTATATACGCGCTGATGGGTGAAGTATTTCTTCCTGTACGTTTGTATCTAAAAAAAAAATAGCACCCTTGGTATTGTATGACGTTCTGCAGCTTCAGCCCAATCCTTTAGAAAAGCTACAGCCCATCCATAAAGTTATCAGCTGTCTGATCAAAGACCTCGCCAACCGCTCCCTCCCCACCAGAGGACAGCGACTGCCATTAATTACTCCTTATCAAACAGTTTTTCTATTACTCCCTTCAGAACTGACAGAACACACAGTGACCTCTAACTACTTAAAATTCTCTCGCTCGTCCTTTGATGCTCCGTACGAGCACTTCTGGGATATTTCTAACAAATCTGGGAAGAGAGATAGCCCGAGCCGCTGCTTTGATGCCAGCTACCGTTGCCTGTTGACTTCAAATGACTCGTGCCTGGTAGATGATGTCTTCCCACAAAACCTAAAAAAGGGGGTTGAGTCCTCCCTCACGCCCCCCCCCAAACCTCCTGTGCATGCTTCACCCTGGCTCACCGCATTGTATTCTAGGTCATTAGAGATGCAGTTTGAATTCCTGCTTTTAATGATTTGTAGCTTCAGTTTAGTATAGGAATCCACCCACAAACACGCAACACTGCTTTTTTTGGAAAGCAGATATCACAGATCTGGAGAACTGCTTAAAAAAATCAGTTTAAGTCAGCAAACAAATTAATCCAGATTAGCTTTCTGTGCATAAAGTGCATTAATAACGCTTCCGTAGCGACCGAGGGCTGACCAGAGCCAGGAGGCTGTCAAACAGCGAGGCTAATACAGATTACATGCTCCAAGAGCAGTGGCTTTAACAAGACAACTCATTTTGGATCAAGTGTAACAGCAGCACACTCAGAGGAAGCCCCCAGTGGGCAGCAGAGTAAGTTAAAGAGCACATGGCAGTCTTTGGCGCAATATTTGGGCCTTTTTCAGGTAATTTCTAGCTAACTTCAAAGCTCACCAGTTGCAGAAAGGCTGCAAAAACTGAAGGGAAGATACATGCAAATCTACAAGTCATTAATAAGCACTTTACTAACATGGTTGCTTAAAAACAAGCTATGAACGGCGGTGCCTTTTTTATTCTTTAGGAGGACAAGGAAATCTTTTAAGAGCACAATGACTTCCCCAGAGCTTCCCGCAGTGTCTCCGGGACTTGTCCTGGCAGGACGCTGCACATCAGTTGCTTCATCAGTTATTAGCTGGGAATATGAAAATTTGATGCCTGCTTGCTCTTGGAATTGCATGGCTTACCCAGTGTTTATTTACCTGCAGAAAACTGCAATTCGCTCCTCGGAAGAACCACCTCCGGGAGGGCTCGGACCCAGTGACGAAGCCACAAGGACTGAATTTTTGTCACATCTGACTACGTCGCCTGGCAGAGCAGGGTGAGGCAGCTCGACGCTGTTGCAGTACAAATTACAAGTTTTAAGTTTTTCTCAACGCTTTTTCTGTTCTCATCCAGAAACTTGGAAGCAGGGCAAAAATTCACCCATACATTAAGCCCTGTCGACTGAATTGCTTACTTTATCAGCAAACGCATTTGCTTCTCACGTGCAGCTCTGCTTTATTTTGAAGCAAGCCACGCTCCAAATTATATTACTCGCAGATGTAGAAGATGGTCTGCTGTAAAAGCAGCCAGCACACACCCCGGGGTGCTGCGGGGATGCAAACTCCCTGGCTTTGCCAGCCACCAGCCCCAAGTCGCTGCCGAGTGAGGGTTCTGTGGAAGAGGACACAAGGCTCAGACTCGCAGGGGAGCTGCGGAAAGAAGCGTAAAATCGGCAAACCCAGAAAGGCAAAATCCCACCCTGAGCTCCACGAACGCTTCCTAGGGGCGACGAGGCAACAACCACGACAAGCAGCTACCGAATTCCTGCGCCAAACGCTGGTGCTGGCAAAGCCGCGTGTTACACCGCCGGGTTGAAACTCCGCCGCAGCGACAGGCACGTGCGGCGCCGCCGGATCCCGAGCGACGCAGCGCGAACCCCTCGGCTGCAGCTTCCCGTCGCAAATCAGAGCTTTTCCCGGCAGCTACTTACTGTGCGAGAAGCGCTGCGTGATGGGGGTGCCGGGGTAGGGGTAAGTGCGACTCTCCCACTGAATATTTCCTTCTTGCACCGCTTTGATAAAGCCGTGATAACACTGATGGGCCACACCTAGGGAAAAACGAGAGGTCAGCACAATTTGGGGGACGTTCGGAACAAACGGTGCCTGCACGGTCGCACAAGCAGCGTGACAGCAATTATAAAGAACCCCTGTATCTAGATTACAAACACGCTGGTGGAAGCTCGGAGGATTAAAGAGAATAAAGAATAGGGACCCTGCAAGAGCGGAAAACCAGCAGCGTTCACTGAACTGATCCACTACATTTCTGGCATCTGCCAGCTCTAGCTTGGTAAAGCGAAGCCTTTGTGAAAGGTAAGCACGTGCGATGCCTTGACAGAGCTGGTTTTAAGCCTTCTCTGCTGCAACGCAAGCCTGTTGCCCCCTCATCACACCCCGGCAGGAACAGCTGCCCTTCCCTTAATGGACCTTTTGAGGACAAATAACGTGCAATAATGAATTTTTAAGAGCGTGCATGCAGCTACCGCACAGGAATCTAAAATAAACATGAGATGAGACATCAATGATAAAAATTAGTGTGTCTTAGGTGAAAATGCTCCTCCTTAGCCACGTCATCTGGCCGACAACGGCTCCTCCGTGGAGCGGGTCAGCCCCAGAGCCGCAATTAATTCTGTGCAGGGAGTACATGTGTCAGTATTTGTGTGGAGAGGGGCCAGAGATGCTCCCTGTGGAAAGGCAAAGGGTCTGGCAAAGATTTACGACGGCAGCAGCTCAGCAGATGCTTGGTGGCACCCGCTGTGCCATGGCAGCCCTTGCGCTGAGGATGCCACCACCTGCCAAGATTTTTTCCCAAGGGTTTGTTTACTGGAAGCCCCGTGCCAGGAACACCCCCAGCAAGAAATGACACTCCGGGATATGCAGCAGGAAGCTTTTATTTAAAGGAAAAATGAAGCCTGGGGTCCTCAAGCAGCTGGTCCCTGAGAGCCATGTGGGAAATGTAATCCAAACTATACGATTTCATAGCAGATGTATCCTGACAAACAGGAAAAATTAACCAGAAGAAAACAAATCAAGTATTTACCTCGAGTGACCTCTCTGCTTTACAGCATGCAGGTTAGCAATTACACTCCCTTTTTTTGTTATAATTGCCACAAAAAATGGCACGGCTGCCCAGCACCACTCATCCCCTGAGACTCGGACAACTCACTCCAATGCCACGCTGCGCCTTGGGCTGCTCATCCCTCCCCTCCACTCCGGGGTTGTTTCCCACAGTCTCTTTTGGGCTGAATCACCAGGTGCTTGTTCATTCCAGCTGCATCCTTTGCATCTCTTAAGGCCGCTCCAGGAACAAGCACGCGTGAGAAAACGTGCCCAAGCAGCAGCTCAAGGGCTTCGGACACTTGAAAAAAACCCTTTCAACAGAGGCGCAGGCTGCTGCTGACCCAAAATTATGCAAAAAGAGTAATTTTGGGCAACGCTCATTTCTGAAGTAGCTGTGTTTTGGTTGTTTTTTTTCTAACCTCCAGCCTGCTAAACTCCAGGCAAGGCAGAAAATGCCTGGAATCTGAGCAATGCTTTCACACGTGCAGAGAAGTCCACAAATGAGACATCACCCCACACGCCTGCCAAAGGCGTTTCTCACCCCGACACCCGCTCTGCGTTCTCCAGAAGAAACAAGTCACCCTCGTGCAGCAGCGTGCCTCATTTCCTACAGATTTAACTGTGGTCTCCTCTTCAACTGCCTGGTTTTTTAATGAAGCTCGCAATCTAAATGCACGTCCCCAAAAGAAACATAACAGAAATCATTCAATGTGTTCACAAAATGCCGATGCAGGTAGCTTTGCTTGTACCCTTGGCCAAACTTTGCCTACCTGTTTGCCCTACCATATATATCTAGCATTAGAATATCCCCATAAGGCTTCAGAATTAATGCTGCACGGAGGCAAAGTGAAGTATCTGTATCTCAGGGCTACTCTTTCAGGAAGTTTGAATATGTAGATCTATATTAATGCAGATTTTATATACCACTTATCTTCAGCAGAGCTGTAAGAACCAGACACTGTTTTGTTTCCAGCCGAAAGCATAAGCTTTGGGAACGTTAATTACTGAGCAAGACGCAAACGAAGCACAATTACAGCCACATTAGACATGGGGCGCCGGCAACAGGGGCTGCTGTGTGGTGCAGAGGAAGCCTGAATGCAAGGTCAACAGCGCTGCACGTCAGCACACGGGGAGCATTCAAAAGCAACGCCAAGTGAGCTGCTCTGTCACGGGGGTTTGGGGGTTTCACTCTTTTATACTTCAAAAGAGGCTGAGGGCTCAATTCTGCACCATTCTTAGCGATGCCTTCAGCAAAGCAAGCGACCCAACGGCTGTCGCTGCTTTTCTGGCGTTTTGCAGAAGTCAAATTTCTGAGTTTGGGGAGGGGAGGAAACAACAGGTGAGGCTAAAGCAAAGCAAAGAGCAGCTGGGATACAAATCTGTGTTCCCACAATTAAGAAAAGAAATGCACTCTCATTACAGCTATTTGTACCTTTGATTAGTCGATACCACTGTTTGCAGACAAGGGCAGCAGTTTTGTGCTCCTGATAGGGCGAAAGGAAGGAGAGGATATATTCCAAAACCTCTTCTGGGAGCTCCAACATTGATCTGTTATGCCTGGTCTCCTCGACCTCCAGCTCAGCGTGTGGCTCATCGTCTTGCTCCATTGTCCCTTCAACCGCAGCGTCTTCTGGATCCACGGCCATGAAACCGTCATCTTCACTGTCCGAGGAACTGGCCATGGCATTCCACTTCACAGCTACAAGGGGCAGGGGGGTGGGGGGGGAAGACAACAGTAAGGTCACAAAATTAAAATCAATAGCATCAGAAAGGCCCACGCAAGCCGTGTATGCCACACCAAAGGTCTACGTCAAGCTCTGCCCCAGCAAGCTCCCCCCCGAGGACGGGGTTTTTGCAGAGCAGGCTGAACACGGTTTAGGAACAAGCCCTTCTCCATCGGCGCAGTGTTTTCTCAAGCCACGTCGTCTCTCCCCACTCTCAGCCCTACTGTCGCCTACAGACGGTACCAGAGACAGCAAAAAAAAAAACCCCAAACCCGCTGGAGGAATCGCAGCCTCTCGAGCCCCTGCTCCTTCACCGGGCACGAGAAGGCATCACGCTGCTGGCCCCGGTTGGTTTGCATGGGCAGCGATGGGGAAAGGGATCCCCACCGAATCGAGAGCAACCCAAGGTGAGACACGATAGAAGCGACAGCTTTGCAGCCCCTCCTCCCCTGCGAAACCAGTTTTGTCAGCGAGCCTGCTTTAGCCCAAGCAACTCCTCAGCAGCACGCAGGGGGGAAGAAAACCCTGTCCCATTCTCCCTCAACGCCCCCCTTTTTTTCTTCTTTTGCTAAATACTTGCACGCAGTTCTTGCTGGCAGTAGGTGAGGAAAGAAAAAGCCCCACAGGATTTACGGCTGATGAAAGGTTGGAGTACTGCATGTTGTATCTCCAGCTATTCAGAACATCTTAAGTATAAGGTAACGTTCCGATGACAGAAATACGTCGGGAAATAAATCTGCCTTAATGGGCAGCCGGGTCCAATTCAGCCAGCTGGCTGGTGTGCCGTTAAACCCATGCCCGCTGCTGCAAAACAAATCCCTGGACCCTGTTTCCCAGGAAGCAGCCGACCTGTTTTAGGGAAAGTGGCGACAGCTTTCCCTTCCAGCGCTGCTGGGTGAAGACTGAGGGACACAACTGCTCCGCGATTATACCGGCACCGACAGCTCAGACCAACGTACCAACTCCTGGGGACGACAGAGGCGCTGTCTTTTCCTAGAAATCGCAATCACAAGTTCCATTTTGTCCTTTCCGAGCACAGCAGGTTGTAATGAAGGACCCAAAACAGGGCAAGCTCTCAGCTCAGTGTGAGTTTCTCCCAACGCCACGAGGCAGAGGCTCCCCAGCCATCCCCAGGTCCCAGCTCAACTGGGATGATGGGATGCAGAACAACACAATCCATGGGATAAATCCCACCTGCAGCGAGCCCAGGAAGCAAACCCACTCCTCAAGAAGGAAGACAAGACAGGGCTTTTTACCCAACATCATTAAATACAAGTACACAGTATCTTATTTTTACCAAACTCTTAGTATCACAGAAAATAGGGGTGGAAGGAATCTAAGTTACCTGGCTATCAGCAATAAACTAAGCCGTTCCGAGCTTCCAGCAAAGCAAACTCAAACGTCTTCCCCAGCTAAACCCAGGTTTTTCCCATCCCGGCATGCACCGAGCCGAAGAGCCATGGGAATAGCAGACGGCGGAGACACGGAGCGGAAAAGCTTGCCATGACAACTAATTCATGCTCAGAAAAATTACGGTCGACAGCATTACTCTCCACTTTTGTCAGGTTCCCTGATGAAGCAGCTTCAGAAAATCCATGGGGCTGTCACTCTTGGGTAGAAACCACGTCAAAATTAAACTTACAGTTATCATCCTAACAGATGCTCGGCACGTGTTCCCATGTCAGAAATCCTTCTCAGAGTCAATGTTATGACAGAGAAAGGCTGAAACCCAAACGCTTTGACACGAGCGCTGCTGCTGCCAGCAGACTGCATTACGCAGCAGAAAACGTGCAAATTCCCAAAGATTAAGAAATGGAAAACTAAAAAAAAAAAAAAGCACCACAATAAGAAACAAGTGGAGCTGTGCTGAAAAAATTAATTAAAACCCAGAAGGTTGGGTCTTTTTCCAAGCAAAACCATCTATTGTCGTGAAGCGCAAGTGCTGATTTCCAGCTTGGCATGGCAGGAAGCCAAAGGCTGCCAGTATTCCAACCTCGGGATGCAGTTTGGCTCGAGCCAGGGAGGCTGGAGGAAGGAGGGTCGGTCCCTGTCTCATGGCTTGGGAAAACGGAGAGCAGAGTGTCGACCCAGGAGGAGCAGAAGGCATTTCACACCCTAAAAACGCGCCCGAAAACCAAACAGAAGCGCGTTTGCGCCCAGACCAGGTACAACGGGACACCTGCGGGTGACAACGCTGAACATAAGCCTCGGCTCGACAGGTTCACACAAGACATCTGTTGTGTTATCAAGGTTGAGAAGCAAAGATTAATGTGTGTTTCCCAACAGCTTTTATTTACCCCTTAAATAATGTCCAAAACCTGCTGGAAATCATCTGTGAAGTACAGGAGTGAACACTCAGCTAGCAAGGGGCTTTTCCCAATTATTTAATCCCAGTTCCCATCCTCTGGAGCAGGCTTGGAACAACACAATGCAGCAAGTTAATCACAGGCACTAAACAACTTGGGGGTTAGAAAAGCGTCTCTAAGGCCCATTTTAAAAAGGCAGGAGGAGCAGGGAAACCCCTCAATGCCTCAAATAACACGTGCTCGCACAGATCCGGGGATGAGGAGGGCTGCGCCGAGTTTTGTCTGGTCTCACCAGACCACTTGATAACACTATAAATATTCAAATGCATCTACTTTGCTAGATCTTCATTTTCTAAATATTTGAGCACAAGAAATCGCCATCCTCCAAGTTTTCACACCCACGCTGTGTTATTTTTCTGAAGGAAAACCAGCCTAGCAATAAACTCAACTCCCAAAAGGCAAGTCGCCGTCAAAATAACCCTTCAAGCTTGACCTGCCACGGATGCACATTTTGCTCTTGCGGCACGGGAACGGCGGGCTGGGAATAACCACCCCCGGACTGCAAAGCAGCAGAAGTCCTGTCCTATAACCCTGCTCCAACATCAAAAAAGGAAAAAGAAACCCAGGCAGTCAGTAACAGAGAGCAAAAGCATCCCAGCCAGCTCCTATTACCAACTATTCAGCAGATCCACGGGAGAAAATCCCATGCCAGTGTTTTTACTAGTTATTCAAAGAGGAGAACTGAGTGGTTTTGTCCTGTTTGCGCTTTGGGGAGATGCAGTAGGTGCTTTCTCACTCATCCTGGCTCTCCAGGCGCTCTCCATTTGCACCGAGCTGGGCTTCAGTTTGTACACAGGCTAATTATTAATCGCCAAGCACTCAAAAACCTGCAGCAAAGAGGTCACGTCTCATCCAAAAGTACATGCAACTCAATTAACTTGCCAGGACGGATCCAGGAGCCCCGTTCTGCTTGGACCGATGGCTGTGAAGGCCAACGTGAGCCCCTTGAAGCATCGTATTATATTTTGCACCCTACTGGAGAAATGCCTTTACATTCCAGCAGCAGAAATGTTTTACTGCATCCAGAAATTAGCCTAAAGCCCTACCAAGGAGGAATCGCTGCTTAAAATAACACGTAAAGAAACGCTAGAAGGGCAATCGAAACGGAACTCTGCCAGTGCTGATCAAATCTGCCTGGCCCTTCCTAAAAGCTGCGTCTCTGCCAGTTGGCAAAACATTCTATAACCCTTTTCCACCTTTCAGAGCACTTCAATTTTCCCCTCTCTCCCCTCCTGAAATTATTTAAGAACCTGCTATTTATTCTGCTAAAGTAATTAGTCACTGCAGTGGAACAAACAGATGAAAAATACTAAACGCAGGCAAAAAACCCCACCAGATTTAAGCACTTCTCGAAGCCTGGCAGGGACATCAGGCAGCCAGCAGCCTGCTCCTGCAAAACCCCTCTCGAGCCAAGAAGGTTTTCCCTACCTGCAGGCATCTCTCCGGGTCCCATGGACCCCAATTCACAGGCGTGGGTGGCATCAGTGGTTCCCATCCCGAGCTACCTCCTCTTCTCCGCAGCTCTCAGCTGTTTTAAGAAGTGCTTGAACCCACAGGGGTTTTGACCTGGCTTTTTTTTTTTTTTTTTTTTTTTTTTAAAGTCAACAGATTTTAGGGGAAAAAAAAGCCTCCAAGGGAAAGTTCTTGAATGAAAATAAGAGGCCATGCAACAGTACTGAGTCAGAGCACATTACGCATAAGGGAATGCTCATTTTCACATGCCACAAAAAAATTCTCTCTCCAAACATAATCACAGAAGCTATGTTCTCACCGGGGGAAAAAAAATAATAAAGGTGTGTGAAAGGACCCAGCCCTGGCTGGCTGACTGCTTCGGCTGGAAGGAGAAAGGGACTCTGCAGAACAGAACGGTTAATTGCACTTGGCAATCGGGAGCTACGGCGTTAATTTAGGGCTGGAAGACAGCAAGTGCTTCTAACCCGCTCCAGACTCTTCCTCATACTTGACAACTGCTCACCCGGCTTGTCAACAGCCCCACCGGCACAGCAGGGTAGCATTTATGGAGGCATGTAGACCTTTTAGGCTTATTCTCTTACCCAGATTAAAAAAAAAAAAGCCTATTCCATCAGACAGATACATTTAATAACGAGTTGTAGGCTGCTTTCCTTGGAAAAAAACCCCTCTCTGTATGGGGAAGGATTCTTTTTGTGTGATATTTGCTTGTTTGTCTCATGCAGCCACGCCATCAAGGACTTTGACAGCAGCTTCCCCCACTCCAGTTTGGCTTTTCCTACTACCAGTTGCCCTGCAGAAACCCCCGGCCCATTTTCTAGTGATGTAAAAGGACAAATAAAGCAGTATTTCCTAGGAGAATCACGCTTTTTTAATGAAAGCAACAGCACAAGGAGTAAAAGGTCTGTGGGAGCCACGGGATTCAGGGTAGGGATAAACACCGTTCAGTAAGATGCCATTTCCAGTCCACCAAAACTTGCACCAGTTAGAGCTGATGATTTGAAAATCAACCGCTAGACAAGTTCAACAGTGGAAAAAAAAGCAGATTTTAGTCAAAAAAGAAAGAAAACAAAGCCTTTGGGAAACCGAACGATGAGCAATATCCTGTCTGCACTGCTGCAT